AACAGTAGATATAAAATCGATGTTTTAATTAAGGAACAGCAGAACGAGAGGACATAATTGGAAACTGGAAGGAACTAGACTAGAAAAAGTCGTCGAAGCCAATTCAACGACTTTTTTTAAATGTAAATAATCGACGACACAGTTTGAAACGTAAATAATCGTCGGAAAGATAATTTACATTTACAGCAAAGGTAATGCATGAGAGATGATCGATCCCCTGCAAGCACAACAAATTCAAATTCAAGAATTCAAATGTTTATTCAGGTAAAGTACATACATACAATCTTGAGATATATCTTGAGATGATTTCGGGGCTTTAGTGTCCCTACGGCCCGGTCCTCGACCGGGCTTCCAACCCCAGGAAGCAGCCCGTGACAGCTGACTAACTCCCAGGTACCTATTTTACTGCTAGGTAACAGGGGCATAGGGTGAAAGAAACTCTGCCCATTGTTTCTCGCCGGCGCCTGGGATCGAACCCAGGACCACAGGATCACAAGTCCAGCGTGCTGTCCGCTCGGCCGACCGGCTCCCGGTTACAAGAGGTTATACAAAAATTTATAGATTTATAGATAGAACTAGTACATACAATACCTAAAGCCACTATTACGCAAAGCGTTTCGGGCAGCTTCGAAGAACTTTGTGTGTACAACTAGACGAGTTCACTCGCTCGCTCACTCTCATTCACTCACTCTCATTCACTCACTCATTCACTCATTCTCTCATTCACTCACTCACTCACTCATTCTCTCATTCACTCACTCGCTCACCTACTTCAACCAATAAGAGAACAAAAACAAAAGGTGCACTTTCCCGGGAGGGGGGGGGGAGGGGGAGGAGGGAGCCGGACAGACAGACACACTAGGTTAGTGGGACACAGTGTGAGGTTCAGTGGTGCACTTAAGGCCTATCCAACCCCTGGAGGGCTAGGAGCGCCACCCCCGTTGCCTACTGACCAACCAGTCCTGTGTGTACTCCAGTCCTGGGTGTGGTACAGGCCGGTACACTGTTCTTAGTGCTTGTACACCCGCAGCCAGGGGTTTACCGGAGACTATATCGCCGATCTAGGGCGCGAGACACAGCCACACACACACACACACACACACACACACACACACACACACACCACACACACACACACACACACACACACACACACACACACACACACAATCTTGATCACCACATTCAAGATTCTCACGGGAATTGATAGGGTAGATAAAGACAGTCTATTTAACACAAGGGGCACACGCACTAGGGGACACAGGTGGAAACTGAGTGCCCAAATGAGCCACAGAGATATTAGAAAGAACTTTTTTAGTGTCAGAGTGGTTGACAAATGGAATGCATTAGGGAGTGATGTGGTGGAGGCTGACTCCATACACAGTTTCAAGTGTAGATATGATAGAGCCCGATAGGCTCAGGAACCTGTACACCAGTTGATTGACGGTTGAGAGGCGGGACCAAAGAGCCAGAGCTCAACACCCCCGCAAGCATAACTAGGTAAGTACACACACACATTCTCTATCTACCTACCTGTGTGTGTGTGTATATATATATATACGTAATCTCCTTCCGTTATACATACCTTCCTTCCCTCCCTCTATCTTCCTACACCACACAACTTTCTACACTACTACCCCCTACACCTTCCCCACCCCCCTTACCTGGGGGATGTAGCAGGGTTGTGGTTGAACACCCATGTAGCAGGGTTGTGGTTGAACACCCCCATGTAGCAGGGTTGTGGTTGAACACCCCCATGTAGCAGGGTTGTGTTGAACACCCCCATGTAGCAGGGTTGTGTTGAACACCCCCATGTAGCAGGGTTGTGGTTGAACACCCCCCATGTAGCAGGGTTGTGGTTGAACACCCCCCATGTAGCAGGTTGTGGTTGAACACCCCCCATGTAGCAGGTTGTGGTTGAACACCCCCCCATGTAGCAGGGTTGTGGTTGAACACCCCCCATGTAGCAGGGTTGTGGTTGAACACCCCCATGTAGCAGGGTTGTGGTTGACCACCCCCCATGTAGCAGGGTTGTGGTTGAACACCCCCATGTAGCAGGTTGTGGTTGAACACCCCATGTAGCAGGGTTGTGGTTGAACACCCCCATGTAGCAGGGTTGTGGTTGAACACCCCCATGTAGCAGGGTTGTGGTTGAACACCCCCATGTAGCAGGGTTGTGGTTGAACACCCCCATGTAGCAGGGTTGTGGTTGAACACCCCCTGTAGCAGGGTTGTGGTTGAACACCCCCATGTAGCAGGGTTGTGTTGAACACCCCCATGTAGCAGGGTTGTGTTGAACACCCCCATGTAGCAGGGTTGTGTTGAACACCCCCATGTAGCAGGGTTGTGTTGAACACCCCCATGTAGCAGGGTTGTGGTTGAACACCCCATGTAGCAGGGTTGTGGTTGAACACCCCCATGTAGCAGGGTTGTGTTGAACACCCCATGTAGCAGGGTTGTGGTTGAACACCATGGGACAAGAGACCCTCCGCCTCTATATTAGTTAAAATTACCACAGTTTTACTCCTTGCAAACACCTGTCCATTCTGCTGCTTGCAATGTTCTCACGCTTCTGTGGCCCACACCTGTTGTATCTACACCTGCATTTCACCTCGACACACACATGCACAGGTCTCGCCTACACCTGACATACCACCACCTCATACTTACCACTCCTGTTTGTCCCATTAACATCTGACATACTCTCACGTGTCGCAGCTACACCTGAAAGACCTACACCTGTCACTCCAACTGACTCACACCTGTAATACCTGTACTCTAAGACATGCCAAACATTCAAGACTCAATAATAACAGCAAATGATTAAAATAACAGTGGGTGGTGCCACTGAGGTTGGTGAAAGTAACGGGGGTCGGTCGGAACGTGAACTCCAGTATGAAAAATAACATTAACAATAACACGGGAAAATAACAGTAATCCCAATACAATAATAATACTGATAACTGAGAACATTGAAAGATAAGACAATATTATCATCTGGTCTTTATTAATCTGTCAGTTTCTTGTTGTTTTGGGTTTGAATTTTTTTTTTAATTCTTGGTTTGAACATTATTCGGGAGTGTTCGATCAATTTTGGGTTGTTATCTTTTCCTTCCCTCTCCCTTCCCTCTCCCTTCCCTCTCCCTTCCCTCTCCCTTCCCTCTCCCTTCCCTCTCCCTTCTTCCTTCCCTCTCTCTTCCATCTTAGGTCATACCAGAGTGACGCAGCAGCTGCGAGAGGCAGCAGCGTCTTGCTCGGTAAAACACAGAGACCAGAATTGTGCGGATGTGACGCTTTGTAATTAGACATTATTGTACTTATCCAAAGACATAATTTGCCCTCAAACGCTGAGGTATTAGTGGCTTTAGGTATAGTATGTGCTGGCTCTGTCTAGAAGTCCAACATTATGTTTGTAACGTCTTCTATGTAGGTACTTTACCTCAATAAACATTAATTTATTTATTTATAATATGCGATGTAAAGGCTGCCAGTTGGTTTACAGATTTGTGTAAGTTTGAAATTGAAATAAGTTTATTGAGGTAAAATACACACAAAGGGATGAGGTAGCTCAAGCTATTCTCACCCCGTTCAGTACATCGTGTTAATACATACATATACACACATCACAAGCAATAAACGTATTACCGAACATTCTGAGAGATAAACATATACATTTCCTATTTGTGTAAGTGGTTCACTGCTCGGTTATCTTGATGATTTCGGGGCTTTAGTGTCCCCGCGGCAGGATCCAGGACCACAGGATCACAAGTCCAGCGTGCTGTCCGCTCGGCCGACCGGCTCCCCAGAGTTGAGAGTTGAGGTTAGTGTCTCAAAGTCGATGGGAAGGAAGGTAGGAAGGAACTATCGGGAAAGCGCCAAGCCATTGCGACTATATAGCACTGGGAAAGGGGTCAGGATAAGGATTTGGGATGGGACGGAGGGAAGGAATGGTGCCCAACCACTTGGACAGTCGGGGATTGAACGCCGACCTGCATGAAGCGAGACCATCGCTCTACCGTCCAGTACAAGTAAAGTCGATGGGAATGTCAGACTTCACTGTGTTTAGGGTTTAATGAACTCCGAGTGATCGTGTCATTGCTGTGATCAAGTGATCTGTTACAGCACCTCGACACTACAGCATGGGGGGGGGGGGTAAATACAAAAAAAGTGACTGTGTTCGCATTTTGCATTGATAAAATAATTTTGGTTTCTCCGTTTCATCAATGGCGTTTTGTTCACATTGTCACTTCTGGACTTTGAGTGATTCATTGAATGTTAAGAAATATATTTTCAAGTCGGTTTTTATTTTCCTGCACGAGAGAAAGTGAAGGTGTTCGAGTAATTCTGTGATTTAACATTTTCTTGTAAAATAGAATGCGCTTCCCATTCTTATTTACTCTCTCTCTCTCTCTCTCTCTCTCTCTCTCTCTCTCTCTCTCTCTCTCTCTCTCTCTCTCTCTCTCTCTCTCTCGTGCTTGTGTGTAGAGCCACAGTGCCCCTCATTTCGTGGCACTGGTTCAGGTCTGTGCTACTGAATGTCTATTTTTAAAATGGAATTTGGTGAATTTTCCTTCAGTTAGGGTTTCAAGAGACTGTACGTGTGTGTGATACAGCTGTACCTGTCTGTGGTACAACTGTACCTGTCTGTGGTACAACTGTACCTGTCTGTGGTACAACTGTACCTGTCTGTGGTACAACTGTACCTGTCTGTGGTACAACTGTACCTGTCTGTGGTACAACTGTACCTGTCTGTGGTACAACTGTACCTGTCTGTGGTACAACTGTACCTGTCTGTGGTACAACTGTACCTGTCTGTGGTACAACTGTACCTGTCTGTGGTACAACTGTACCTGTCTGTGGTACAAGTTGTACCTCTCTGTAAAATTAAGGTCCAGGGGGCTTCCTTGGTATAATTTTCTTGGCAACATTCACGTGGAAAGTTGTGAACATATTTCCCACACCTGTTGTTTTGGCTCTGTTCAACACCTGCTCTCTCTTACGGTCGCTTAAAGCCTGATTTGTTTCGTACCAGCGTATAGAAGCTCTCTGCGGTGGCTTCAGGCTTATCCCTCTGGGTCCCACGCTCGCTCTCTCCTCTAGCAGCAAATCTAGCCAATGAGTTGTGCTTGCGAGTATGCTTGGGGCTTGTGCTTTCTAAAGAAAAACAAAAAACAGGCGTGTGACATCTGTTTTATTGTTGTGTTGAGTCCCTTTTGTATACATTTCGATCCAGGCTACGTTTTAACTCGCTTTCTCAAAGCCATTTAACGCTATTAAGAAACAACGAAGTCATTCTTGCAACGTTATCTGAGCCAGGAGGGAGTTAGTGTTCTCCAGGTGTGTGTCTGGCCTACTGACTGTCACTCGGTTTCCTTTAGTTACCGCTGTGATGCTCTTGCAAGTTTCTTAAGGGGGATATTTGATATCGATTTTCTTTGTCGGATTATTTTCTATGTCTCGTCTAAATTCTTGGAAGTATGTGCTGTAGCTTTTCCCCCGAGTACTGTCGCTACTCTGGGTACAACTTTCCCCTGAGGTCCAGCAGCCGCGTCCAACAGCCTGGTTGATCAGTCCGGCAACCAGGAGGCCTGGTCGACGACCGGGCCGCGGGGACGCTAAGCCCCGGAAGCACCTCAAGGTAACCTCAAGGAGGTATGTGCCTCAGAGTACCAAGTTTACATATAAACAACCCCTTAAGCGGGTTTAATTGGAATGCACCTACATGCTTTTTTTCCCCTCCAGGAATATACCTTCGAGGGGCCCTAAGCCTCTGGCTGCCCCCCCCCCCCACCCACACCCCTCACCCATGCCTAAATAAGCCTGTTCTCACGCCAATTGGCTCGTTCCCACTATGTGAAAAGCGTTCAGTTTGTACGCTATGACCTAACTTTGGTGTACGAACCGACAGTGAGTCATAACAGAGATTTCCCATCCGTGCAATTCTTTCTTTGTATAAATGTTTATTCCTTGCATTGCTTAGATTGTTCATTCCATTAATTGTTACATGAACAGTTGTTTACAATTACCTTGATGATATGGTGTCAGATAAATTATTTATCAGTCAATAAATCTAAGAATCTATTATAATTAGATAATTTAGTTTTAATATAAATTTGAGATTATATTCAAACTCAACCGAAGGAGATCACTGGCTGAGAGACAGAGAGGTCACTGGCTGAGAGACAGAGAGGTCACTGGCTGAGAGACAGAGAGGTCACTGGCTGAGAGACAGAGGTGTCACTGGCTGAGAGACAGAGAGGTCACTGGCTGAGAGACAGAGAGGTCACTGGCTGAGAGACAGAGAGGTCACTGGCTGAGAGACAGAGAGGTCACTGGCTGAGAGACAGAGAGGTCACTGGCTGAGAGACAGAGAGGTCACTGGCTGAGAGACAGAGAGGTCACTGGCTGAGAGACAGAGAGGTCACTGGCTGAGAGACAGAGAGGTCACTGGCTGAGAGACAGAGAGGTCACTGGCTGAGAGACAGAGAGGTCACTGGCTGAGAGACAGAGAGGTCACTGGCTGAGAGACAGAGAGGTCACTGGCTGAGAGACAGAGAGGTCACTGGCTGAGAGACAGAGAGGTCACTGGCTGAGAGACAGAGAGGTCACTGGCTGAGAGACAGAGAGGTCACTGGCTGAGAGACAGAGAGGTCACTGGCTGAGAGACAGAGAGGTCACTGGCTGAGAGACAGAGAGGTCACTGGCTGAGAGACAGAGAGGTCACTGGCTGAGAGACAGAGAGGTCACTGGCTGAGAGACAGAGAGGTCACTGGCTGAGAGACAGAGAGGTCACTGGCTGAGAGACAGAGAGGTCACTGGCTGAGAGACAGAGAGGTCACTGGCTGAGAGACAGAGAGGTCACTGGCTGAGAGACAGAGAGGTCACTGGCTGAGAGACAGAGAGGTCACTGGCTGAGAGACAGAGAGGTCACTGGCTGAGAGACAGAGAGGTCACTGGCTGAGAGACAGAGAGGTCACTGGCTGAGAGACAGAGGTGTCACTGGCTGAGAGACAGAGGTGTCACTGGCTGAGAGACAGAGGTGTCACTGGCTGAGAGACAGAGGTGTCACTGGCTGAGAGACAGAGGTGTCACTGGCTGAGAGACAGAGGTGTCACTGGCTGAGAGACAGAGGTGTCACTGGCTGAGAGACAGAGGTGTCACTGGCTGAGAGACAGAGGTGTCACTGGCTGAGAGACAGAGGTGTCACTGGCTGAGAGACAGAGGTGTCACTGGCTGAGAGACAGAGGTGTCACTGGCTGAGAGACAGAGGTGTCACTGGCTGAGAGACAGAGGTGTCACTGGCTGAGAGACAGAGGTGTCACTGGCTGAGAGACAGAGGTGTCACTGGCTGAGAGACAGAGGTGTCACTGGCTGAGAGACAGAGGTGTCACTGGCTGAGAGACAGAGGTGTCACTGGCTGAGAGACAGAGGTGTCACTGGCTGAGAGACAGAGGTGTCACTGGCTGAGAGACAGAGGTGTCACTGGCTGAGAGACAGAGGTGTCACTGGCTGAGAGACAGAGGTGTCACTGGCTGAGAGACAGAGGTGTCACTGGCTGAGAGACAGAGGTGTCACTGGCTGAGAGACAGAGGTGTCACTGGCTGAGAGACAGAGGTGTCACTGGCTGAGAGACAGAGGTGTCACTGGCTGAGAGACAGAGGTGTCACTGGCTGAGAGACAGAGGTGTCACTGGCTGAGAGACAGAGGTGTCACTGGCTGAGAGACAGAGGTGTCACTGGCTGAGAGACAGAGGTGTCACTGGCTGAGAGACAGAGGTGTCACTGGCTGAGAGACAGAGGTGTCACTGGCTGAGAGACAGAGGTGTCACTGGCTGAGAGACAGAGGTGTCACTGGCTGAGAGACAGAGGTGTCACTGGCTGAGAGACAGAGGTGTCACTGGCTGAGAGACAGAGGTGTCACTGGCTGAGAGACAGAGGTGTCACTGGCTGAGAGACAGAGGTGTCACTGGCTGAGAGACAGAGGTGTCACTGGCTGAGAGACAGAGGTGTCACTGGCTGAGAGACAGAGGTGTCACTGGCTGAGAGACAGAGGTGTCACTGGCTGAGAGACAGAGGTGTCACTGGCTGAGAGACAGAGGTGTCACTGGCTGAGAGACAGAGGTGTCACTGGCTGAGAGACAGAGAGGTCACTGGCTGAGAGACAGAGAGGTCACTGGCTGAGACAGAAAGGTAACTTGTTCCAACCACGAGATAAAAAGAAAATTGTCTCGTGTTCGCTTGAAACAAATCTAAATAATGTGAGATGGGGAGTAGAATTATATTCCATTATATTTTTTATAACAATGAGAAGCTTTAACACACGAGCGCTAATAATTATAATTAGTAATTTCATTATAAACTCTGAACAAAAGAAGAGTTAACCCACACATCGGAATCGTAGTCTTCTGTACACATTACTATATACGTCCACTCATGTACGAAAGCCATGTGTGTGTGTACGAGCCTACACCCATATGTGTACCCCTGGTGTACGACCCCACACCCATCTGTGTACCCCCGGTGTACGACCCCACACCCATATGTGTACCCCTGGTGTACGACCCCACACCCATCTGTGTACCCCCGGTGTACGACCCCACACCCATCTGTGTACCCCCGGTGTACGACCCCACACCCATATGTGTACCCCTGGTGTACGACCCCACACCCATCTGTGTACCCCCGGTGTACGACCCCACACCCATATGTGTAACCCTGGCGTACGACCCCACACCCATCTGTGTACCCCCCCGGTGTACGACCCCACACCCATGTGTGCACCCCCGGTGTACGAGCCTACACCCATCTGTGTAACCCTGGTGTACGACCCCACACCCATCTGTGTACCCCCGGTGTACGACCCCACACCCATCTGTGTAACCCTGGTGTACGACCCCACACCCATCTGTGTACCCCCGGTGTACGACCCCACACCCATCTGTGTACCCCCGGTGTACGACCCCACACCCATGTGTGCACCCCCGGTGTACGAGCCTACACCCATCTGTGTAACCCTGGTGTACGACCCCACACCCATCTGTGTACCCCCGGTGTACGACCCCACACCCATCTGTGTAACCCTGGTGTACGACCCCACACCCATCTGTGTACCCCCGGTGTACGACCCCACACCCATCTGTGTACCCCCGGTGTACGACCCCACACCCATCTGTGTACCCCCGGTGTACGACCCCACACCCATCTGTGTACCCCCGGTGTACGACCCCACACCCATCTGTGTACCCACGGTGTACGACCCCACACCCATCTGTGTACCCACGGTGTACGACCCCACACCCATCTGTGTACCCACGGTGTACGACCCCACACCCATCTGTGTATCCCCGGTGTACGACCCCACACCCCGCCTCCAGGACGACCTGTACACGAGGAATGTGCAAACGCATCTCTGAGAATATCGTAAGTCAGCCTCCAGGGGCTGCTCACCTAGCCTTCCGTCCCCTTACCCCTCCCTTTCCCCTCCCTTCCCCTTCCCCTCCCCCTCCCCTTCCCGTACCCTCCCTTTCACTCACTTTCTCGCCCCATGGAAATGCCTGAGTCATTGACAAATCTTTTGCTGTTTGATCCTGATATACCTCCCCCCCCCCCTCCTTTTCCGCATACCCTTCCACCGATACTCTCTCCCCCCCCCCTCCTTTTCCGCATACCCTTCCACCGATACTCTCTCCCCCCCCCCTCCTTTTCCGCATACCCTTCCACCGATACTCTCTCCCCCCCCCTCCTTTTCCGCATACCCTTCCACCGATACTCTCTCCCCCCCCCCCTCCTTTTCCGCATACCCTTCCACCGATACTCTCTCCCCCCCCCCCCCCCCCAAGTCTAATACCCTCTCACCCCCTCCCCTTTCACTTCTGTAATCGGTTCCTGACATACCTTCCCCGCCTGCTATAGCTTCCTGATATATCCTATATTTGTCAAATTGTCAGCACTTCGTTTAATTTCCAGTTTTCTGAAGGTATATATATTTTTTACAAGATGCTTCTAGATTTAATCCCACGAAATTCACTTATTTTTACCTCTTTTGAAGATCCCTTAGATGCTTGTGACCCTTATTGTAGTTGGTGAGGTTATAGGAAGGTCTAGTTTCTAATTTATGTATTGAAAATGCTGCATTTTTTAATAAGGGTTCTAGCAGTGATGTTCTAGTAATCTTGAGAGACACTGGAGACGCCCCTGGCTGTTATTACAGGGAGATATTCTTAATCTAACCAGTTTGAGCTCAAGTACTCTCTATTGCTCCTTTTCTACCTTCTGGTGTCTTAGTGTACCGTCTGGTACCTTTTTGTATCATCTGGTACCTTTTTGTTCCGTCTGGTACCTTTTTGTACCATCTGGTACCTTTTTGTACCATCTGGTACCTTTTTGTACCATCTGGTACCTTTTTGTTCCGTCTGGTACCTTTTTGTACCATCTGGTACCTTTTTGTACCATCTGGTACCTTTTTGTACCATCTGGTACCTTTTTGTTCCGTCTGGTATCATTTTTTGTACCCATAGGTGCTCTCCGATGATGTCACAGCCTGAATTAGCCCAGCCTTGACCCGCCTCATTAGCCACCACCAGTACCTCTCACTGACAGATGCATCTATTTCCTTCCTAATCCATTGCAGTGACCCACCTGTTTGCTTCCCCCCCCAACCACCCACCACCTTGACTGCACAACCTCCTCCACCTGTTGATACGGCCCACCTATTGATACGGCCCACCTATTGATACGGCCCACCTGTTGATACGGCCCACCTGTTGATACGGCCCACCTGTTGATACGGCCCACCTGTTGATACGGCCCAGCTCCCTATAGGGACCTATCTGTTATGCGACCACCCAACTCTTACGCCCTGTACCTATACAGTGGCGTCTCTCTTTAACGACCGTCTTCAACACCACTCGTCTTCCATCAGTGGCCCATTCCCCAACCCCTCCCCCCATCAGCGGCCCCATTCCTCAACCCCCATCAGCAGACCATCCTCATTAACCGACCACCTCACCTGCGATCAATCTTCCCTACCACCACTACCCTCTCCTCTACGACCTCAATTCAAAGGCACATCCGACAGCCTTAACGACCAGGCCTTACCCCAGCCCCTACCCACAGTCCCTACCTACAGTCCCTACCCACAGTCCCTATCCCAGCTCCTATCCCAGCCCCTACCTTCACCATAATCCCACATCTCTCCCTTAGCTCAATGAATTGTGGGGTTCAGTCCCTGAGCCCATTATGTGCCTCTGTAACCCTTTCCACTACCGCCCACGGGATGGGTATAGGGTGCATAATAAATGAACTAAACTAAACTAACTCCCTTAAAAGTCCAGAGAATCGACAGCCGCGGGGCATATCCCGTCCTCTCACTTTTACATTTCGCATTCGTAACTAAAGCCACCAATCCCTTAACAATACGACGTATTAATAACAACTTACAGACTGTAATGAACAAATCCACAAGGGCCGTGACGAGGATTCGAACCTGCGTCCGGGAGCATCCCAGACACTGCCTTATTCAACTGAGCTACGACAGGGTTAAAAAGAGTTAAAGATCTTTGTTCATTTGATGCGTTACCTTACAGATAACTACCCAATCCACACACGCGTTGAATGACCTGAAAGTGGAAGTAACGTTCTCACCCTTCGCGTGTTCTTGACTGCTGCTAAAACAGCTATATCAACCATTCAAAACATTCCTCAACTTTGTCTTCGGATTGTTATAGCCTTGTGAGTGAAGATTACTGCATGAGAGAAATGCTGCTACCCTTGACAGTACTGTACTTCTCTTCTTATGTTCGGTTTTCTCCTCCTCTGGCATCTGGGTCTTGTGTCTCCCAATGTCTTACACTCCTTCAGGGTCAACTTCCTTCAGTTTTTCTCTTCTTGATCTGATTTAAATTTTATTAAATTTTATTTTAATATGCACGATAGCTTATGTTTGAGAGGTTGTATGCATGTCGGCCCCAAACATGCATACAACATGCCCATGTCGGCCCCAAACATGCATACAACATGCCCATGTCGGCCCCAAACATACATACAACATGCCCATGTCGGCCCCAAACATGCATACAACATGCCCATGTCGGCCCCAAACATGCATACAACATGCCCATGTCGGCCCCAAACATGCATACAACATGCCCATGTCGGCCCCAAACATGCATACAACATGCCCATGTCGGCCCCAAACATGCATACAACATGCCCATGTCGGCCCCAAACATGCATACAACATGCCCATGTCGGCCCCAAACATGCATACAACATGCCCATGTCGGCCCCAAACATGCATACAACATGCCCATGTCGGCAGCGTGCAACATGATTCAGTCTAATATATCATGATTATTCCATGCCTTCGAGAGAGGCTAATAGACTTTAGCGGTTTCGAAGGGAAAGACCCCAAAACCTATAATATAAGAGTTCGGGACGGTCCGTTTAATTGCCCGAAGCTTTTTGGCATTACGTAAGTAATGAAGAAATATTATTTATTTAATCACGAACCTGTTGGCGCTGAAAGTAGAACATGGAAAATGCATTTCGTTACTCTAATATCTCTTATAACGAAATTAGACGAAACTTAGCCGGTTATATTAGGTTTAGATTACGTTAAGCTTAGGTTAGGCTGTTAGGTTAAGGTTAGGGTTAGGTTAGGGTTAGGTTAGGGTTAGGTTAGGGTTAGGTTAGGGTTAGGGTTAGGTTAACGTTAACGTCTGTTCTGATTAACCTAACAGCCGGAATAACGGCTGTTCTACAGCCGTTATGCCGGCTGTAGAACGAGTCGAGTTCTGATAGTTAAGAGAGCCTACTGCCTGCTATCACAAATAGATTCACTGACCAGACAATCATCAAGGAAATTTGGCCCCAGGCCAACCTGCAATAGCAGAATAACTCGAAATTGATCAAAAGTAAACCCCCTTAAAGACGATCTTCAGGACGGTAGAGGGTAATGTGTAGCAAGACTCCCTGATCTCCGGACAGGGCCTCTGTATAATGAAGATCGTGTGAATTGGGAGATCCTAGGAGACAACGACGTTTCAATCGACTTGAGAATGGTCCAGGACGGACCGAAACGTCGTCGTCCCTTCAACTTCTAGTGTGTGGTCTGGTCAACCTAGGAGACAACATGTAGTGACGTTCTTGTACAGGGATGATCCCAGGGACACCCGGAAGGTTAGTCAGGTTCTTCGCCCAGGACGCTATAGTTTTGACTCTGCTAACTTTATAGTTTCTTTGCTGTCCTTCGCGGAGTGGGGGCTTTAACCCATATTGCTTTATGATAAGGTTATCTTGATGATTTCGGGGCTTTTTAGTGTCCCCGCGGCCCGGTCTTCGACCAGGCCTCCACCCCCAGGAAGCAGCCCGTGACAGCTGACTAACACCCCAGGTACCTATTTTACTGCTAGGTAACAAGGTGCCTAGAACAACAGTGTCCTCTCTTCTATTGTCCTGGCATCCTGAGGGACAAGTGTGTGTGGGAACCACGGCAGGAGGCACGGCAGGAGGCACGGCAGGAGGCACGGCAGGAGGCACGGCGCCTCACTACCTCCTAGACCCGTGCCGCTGACCCACATTCTTGCACCAGCCTTTTGCCCCCAGACAGAATACTTAGCGACTTTCTCTGGTAATCTGGCGAGAGCAGCCGATGTCTCCCAGTGTCCTTCATCGTCGACACCCTCTCAGCGGGCGGCAGTTAAGCCTCCGGCTGGAATTTACCATTAAAGAACTTGCGGACCGTGAGGGATTAACGACTTTCTGGGGGCTCTCAGACTTCAAGCGGACCTGCGTGAGAGAGATGAAACGCGTCCATACTGATCTTCTCTGTTTTGCGACTCGCAAGAGGAATGTCGGACCAGTGCCAGGGCAGACTTGATGCATGTAATTATTCCTCTCGCGTGTCTGGGTTCTCGCGACGCGAGATCAGGCCACAGACGACGCCTGTTTTGGGTCGTGCGCGTTTTTTCCCAAGTAAATAACAGGATGTGTGCTGCTTGTACGCTAGAGGCATCCATGGTGACTGTGTCAGGAGTGCCAGCACTCTGGAGGCATCCATGGTGACTGTGTCAGGAGTGCCAGCACTCTGGAGGCATCCATGGTGACTGTGTCAGGAGTACCAGCACTCTGGAGGCATCCATGGTGACTGTGTCAGGAGTGCCAGCACTCTGGAGGCATCCATGGTGACTGTCAGGAGTGCCAGCACTCTGGAGGCATCCATGGTGACTGTGTCAGGAGTGCCAGCACTCTGGAGGCATCCATGGTGACTGTGTCAGGAGTGCCAGCACTCTGGAGGCATCCATGGTGACTGTCAGGAGTGCCAGCACTCTGGAGGCATCCATGGTGACTGTGTCAGGAGTGCCAGCACTCTGGAGGCATCCATGGTGACTGTGTCAGGAGTGCCAGCACTCTGGAGGCATCCATGGTGACTGTGTCAGGAGTGCCAGCACTCTGGAGGCATCCATGGTGACTGTGTCAGGAGTGCCAGCACTCTGGAGGCATCCATGGTGACTGTGTCAGGAGTGCCAGCACTCTGGAGGCATCCATGGTGACTGTGTCAGGAGTGCCAGCACTCTGGAGGCATCCATGGTGACTGTGTCAGGAGTGCCAGCACTCTGGAGGCATCCATGGTGACTGTGTCAGGAGTGCCAGCACTCTGGAGGCATCCATGGTGACTGTGTCAGGAGTGCCAGCACTCTGGAGGCATCCATGGTGACTGTGTCAGGAGTGCCAGCACTCTGGAGGCATCCATGGTGACTGTGTCAGGAGTGCCAGCACTCTGGAGGCATCCATGGTGACTGTGTCAGGAGTGCCAGCACTCTGGAGGCATCCATGGTGACTGTGTCAGGAGTGCCAGCACTCTGGAGACATCCATGGTGAAGATAGGAGTGCCAATCCGCCTGGTGGCAGGCTTCGGAACATACGGCTCACCACACAGACTAAGGCACCATGGGTACAGCGGTGGCACACGTGGCACTCACCTCTTGGGTGCCACGCAAGCTCACAATGTCGCCAGCATGTGACATTTGACAACACCGAGACATGTTTAAGAGTTTAATTACAAAATACACTAACACCGTATATCAAGATCATAAGGAAAGAACAGCAAGTCCAATATGGAAGCCTCATAGCTGAGTGGACAGCGCTTCGGATTCGTAGTCCTGAGGTTCCGGGTTCGATCCCCGGTGGAGGCTGAGACAAATGGGCAAAATGTTTCTTTCACCCCTGATGTCCCTGTTACCTAGCAGTAAATAGGTACCTGGGAGTTAGACAGCTGCTACGGGCTGCTTCCTGGGGGGGTGTAACAAAAAGGAGGCCTGATAGAGGACCGGGCCGCGGGGACGCTAAGCCCCGAAATCATCTCAAGATAACCTCAAGAGAAGATCACATACTTGAAGAATGAGTTAAACATTTAAATTTTCAAAATACAAAGTACAAAAATAAACTAAAGTACGTTCATCAAGTTTGATCTAAACTTCTTTTTTAAGTAACTTATTTTTACTTTCTAAAGCAACTTCTTTTCTTTAAAAGAAAACGCACATAGGCACTGGACACATACTAAAGAGAATCGTGATTTTTAATTTGTTTTCGTCTCGACCCACTCGGTGTGGTAGGCCTACACCGGAGCCTAGGGATGATATCCTGTTTGGTACACTCAGATGAGAACGTCTTGGATGGTACCAGCTACGGTACACACGCAGGCGAGGGAGCCTGAGGCGGTACGTCGTATGTTACAGTCACACGAGGAACCATATGTGGTACCTTGTACGGTACACCTTCCTTGTACGGTACACGTAGCTAATGAAGCCTTGAGTGATACCAGTAGCTCTCCCTTGGCTTGTTTTGCTCTTATCTGATACACAATAGGGACCTTTCTCTACCTGGGGGTTGGAACCTGTGGAACAATCTTGCTTTTGTTTCTTGTTTGATGTACACTTGTAAACAATACACTATACACTCGTTATTCGCCTCTTGTTTACATGGAAGCGTGCTCCTGCGTCTCAGAGGCGGTCATTATATTTGCTTAAGAGAAAACCAGTAGCAACCACGAGGAAGATTCGAACCCGCGCAATTGGTACTGCTAAGCACACGCCTTAGACCACTACAGCTTGGGCACACCTCAAGCTTGTGCACCTATTTAGCAAGGGTAGAACACGCACTAGGGCTCAGCACCGATCCTGTGCCAGGTAAGTCCACTACGGGCTCGCCATAGCCCGTGCTACTTGGAACTTGTTCCGAGTAGCTGAATCTATAACAACAACAACGCACTAGGAGACACAGGTGGAAGCTGAGTACCCAAATGAGCCACAGAGACGTTAGAAAGAATTCTTTCAGTGTCAGAGTAATTAACAGATGGACTGCCTTAGGCAGTGATGTGGTGGAGGCTGACTCCATACACAGTTTCAAATGTAGATATGATAGAACGTAATAAACTCCAGAATCTGTACGTACACCAGTTGATTGACAGTTGAGAGGCGGGACCAAAGAGCCAAAGCTCAACCCCCTGCAAGCACAACTGAGTACTACACCACATGTTAACAGCAATGCAATTCAAGTGAATCCTCTAGTAAGGTTACCCAACAGGCGGCCGAGTTTTGGTTAGATCAGGAAACCTAAGCTGGCTACGTCAGGTCAGGTCAGGTCAGATAGTTTTGTGTTCAGAAATAATCGCAATTTGGCGGTGTTACGCGAAATTTCTGTAAGTTTCGGCTTTAATATCGTATCAGGCGACCGGACCGCGGGGACGTTGGTCCTCGGAATCGTCGACAGGTGGTTTGTGGGTTGTTTCCGGGGGCTAATGCAGAGGTTACGATAGGCTAGTCTGGCCAGGTTACGGTATCGTGTATCCAAACAGTCGCCAGAATTGCGATACCCTTACCAATCGGCGCCGGTATCACCCTGAAATAAAGATTGTCTCGCTGTTGCTCAAGCTTATGCGGGTGGTGCGTTCCAGCTTCCCCCAGCTTGGGCAGGTGGTACGTCTCAGCTTCCCCCAGCTTGGGCGGGTGGTACGTCTCAGCTTCCCCCAGCTTGGGCAGGTGGTACGTCTCGGCTTCCCCCAGCTTGTGCAGGTGGTGCGTCTCAGCTTCCCCCAGCTTGTGCAGGTGGTACGTCTCGGCTTCCCCCAGCTTGGGCAGGTGGTACGTCTCGGCTTCCCCCAGCTTGTGCAGGTGGTGCGTCTCAGCTTCCCCCAGCTTGTGCAGGTGGTACGTCTCGGCTTCCCCCAGCTTGTGCAGGTGGTGCGTCTCAGCTTCCCCCAGCTTGTGCAGGTGGTATGTCTCAGCTTCCCCCAGCTTGTGCAGGTGGTGCGTCTCAGCTTCCCCCAGCTTGGGCGGGTGGTACGTCTCAGCTTCCCCCAGCTTGGGCAGGTGGTGCGTCTCGGCTTCCCCCAGCTTGTGTAGGTGGTGCGTCTCAGCTTCCCCCAGCTTGGGCAGGTGGTGCGTCTCAGCTTCCCCCAGCTTATGTAGGTGGTGCGTCTCGGCTTCCCCCAGCTTGTGTAGGTGGTGCGTCTCGGCTTCCCCCAGCTTGGGCAGGTGGTGCGTCTCAGCTTCCCCCAGCTTGTGTAGGTGGTGCGTCTCAGCTTCCCCCAGCTTGTGCAGGTGGTACGTCTCAGCTTCCCCCAGCTTGTGCAGGTGGTACGTCTCAGCTTCCCCCAGCTTGTGCAGGTGGTACGTCCTAGCCTCCCCCAGCTTGTGCAAGGTGGTGCGTCCCAGCCTCCCCCAGGTCTCAGCTGGGGGCTCTCTTCATCCCTCAGAGCCCTGCAGATTTACCCAGCCATTAATTTATCAGGACGTGACAACCACTTAACTTTTTCAGCCCATTCGCTCTCCCTCCCTCTCTCCTTCTTATTCCATTCTTCTTTCCTCAAAAACATCCTCAAACCTCCCCTACAAAGGTCTCCATATCTCCCCCTTCCTCCCTTCCCCTCCACCCCCTTCCCCCCCTTCAAACCAAAACCCATAATCAACCACCATTCCGGACCTTCCTTACCTGTTCTCAAGTTTATCACGTGCCTTCCCTTCCCTTTCCCCTCCCACGATCCCATCCCCCCATTATTACTTAGGGAGGAACAGGGGGGGGGGTGTTGGCGCTCAAGGGACACCTCCCCTCCCCCTTTTCCTTCCCACCACCCAGCCACTTCCCCCCCCCCCCCCCTCACCGAGGAATAAGCATTCAGAGAAGTAAAGAAACGTCTGGGACACTAAAGCCAGTCACTTGTCTTCCCTGAACCACTATTCTCTTTCTCTTTGACAGTCAGTCAGGCTCCTGTGCCAGGTAAGACCACTACGGGCTCGCCATAGCCCGTGCTACTTGGAACTTTTTGTTCCCAGTAGCTGAAGCTAAGTCAACAACAACTTTCTCACTCCCTCCCTCTCTCCCTATCTCTCTCAATCCCCTCCCTATCTCTTACAATCCCTCCCTATCCCAATCCCTCTCTATCCCAATCCCTCCCTATCCCAATCCCTCCCTATCCCAATCCCTCCCTATCCCAATCCCTCCCTATCCCAATCCCTCCCTATCCCAATCCCTCCCTATCCCAATCCCTCCCTATCCCAATCCCTCCCTATCTCTCCCAATCCCTCCCTATCTCTCCCAATCCCTCCCTATCTCTCCCAATCCCTCCCTATCTCTCCCAATCCCTCCCTATCTCTCCCAATCCCTCCCTATCTCTCCCAATCCCTCCCTATCTCTCCCAATCCCTCCCAATCCCTCCCTATCTCTCCCACAACTTTATCACGAAGAACCTTCACTACCCGTAATAATCAACCAATCTACCCAACACACAAGTTTTCACAGCCTTAAAACAAATGAAATACGCGAGGCGCTTCAAACGTAAAAATTTCGCTAGGAAGAAGTTCTCAGCTAAATGACCCACTCCGGGCAGCCACTTGAGAGAGCAAGAGAGCGCTAAGCAGCAGAAGGCCAGCCCTGAGACACTAGACGCATCACAATAAGTGAGCTGGGACCCCGCACTCGCGTGTGTAGCGTCAGGTACACCAGAGGAAAAGTGTTGACGCAGTAGAAGGCTGCTACACCTTGTAATGGCGTAAGGTCCAGATACCTGTGTTAACTTGATTGAGTTTAGTCCCTATCCCCCTGGAGATGTTGGGAGTGGGAGTCCTACAAAAGGGATCATATCTTGAGGTTATCTTGAGATGGTTTCGGGGCATTAGTGTCCCCGCGACCCGGTCCTCGACCAGGCCTCCACCCCCAGGAAGCAGCCCGTGACAGCTGACTAACACCCAGGTACCTATTTTACTGCTAGGTAACAGGGGCATAGACCAATTTCCTTTCGAAGTGGTCGGTTATGATGATTAAACCACCACAAGGAGTGGCACGGGCATGAATAGCCCGTAGATGGTAGATGTTTGGAGTGAATGTGATCTTTGGTCGTGTCTTCGGGTTTCTGGTCGCTGTGAAAGTGTCTCTAAAGACACTTACCTTCTTTCCTCCGTAATTGGGAAAGTGAGCACCGCTCACAGCTTGGTGCTGGTGGGTAAGATCTACCAGTGTATCAACTGGTGGGTAAGATCTACCAGTGTATCAACTGGTGGGTAAGATCTACCAGTGTATCAACTGGTGGGTAAGATCTACCAGTGTATCAACTGGTGGGTAAGATCTACCAGTGTATCAACTGGCGGGTAAGATCTACCAGTGTATCAACTGGTGGGTAAGATCTACCAGTGTATCAACTGGTGGGTAAGATCTACCAGTGTATCAACTGGTGGGTAAGATCTACCAGTGTATCAACTGGTGGGTAAGATCTACCAGTGTATCAACTGGTGGGTAAGATCTACCAGTGTATCAACTGGTGGGTAAGATCTACCAGTGTATCAACTGGCGGGTAAGATCTACCAGTGTATCAACTGGCGGGTAAGATCTACCAGTGTATCAACTGGCGGGTAAGATCTACCAGTGTATCAACTGGCGGGTCTGCCACACATACAAGGTAAAATTTCCGGTGTCAGAGAAGTTCTTGTACTCCCGCTACTTAAAAGACGGTGGAAAGTGCTGCACTTTTGAGGCCCAGCAAATATAAGTAAACGGGCAGTTAGACAAGTGCGAAACGTGTAAATGGCTTTTATCAGAAACCACTACATCATCAGAGCCTTGTTTATTCTATGACTATTGACGGTATAGAGAGCATCAGCATCCGAACTGATAGACCGATGTGCTTACCTCCTTCCTACATGTCTTTCCCTCAACCCATCTGATGACAACAGTCCCTTCCCTTTCCCATCCCTACCCATCCACCCCATTCACCCCATTTCCTCCCCAGACACCCCCATTCACCCCATTTCCTCCCCCATTCACCCCATTTCCTCCCCAGACACCCCCATTTCCTCCCCCATTCACCCCATTTCCTCCCCAGACACCCCCATTTCCTCCCCCATTCACCCCATTTCCTCCCCCATTCACCCCATTTCCTCCCCCATTCACCCCATTTCCTCACCAGCCACCCCATTCCCTCTCAAGACTCCCGCTGCATCTTATGTTTCACGACAAGAAACAATCGCTTCAGCTAGAGAAGCCACGAGGAAAACACAAGTGTAAAATATAAATTTATTTCAATTTCAATTCAAGTGTAAACACAGCGATCTTGAAGGAGTTTAGGGCGAGGTAAACTTAATGTTAAGATCGAGAGTTAGTCGAGCCACGAATGAGCTTGAGTGCGTAGTAGTGGTAGGAAGCGGAGGTGGGAAAGCAGGTGCGATTAGTAGTCTGCTCGGAGTAGAGGATATGTGGGAGGGGGGGGGGGAGAGAGGAGAGGGAATAGGCAGGCTCACCATCCAAGGGCACCTTTGACATTCGTGGCACAGGTGACGCCGTCCACACTATCCCACACTCCACCTGAATAATGAGTTGATTGGCAAATCACAGCGGAACCTTGCTAAGAGGTCTGTCGACAGCCTCGGACTTACTGAGAGTTGTAAAGATACGAGCAACTTAGCTGCGTGCCTTGAGCTATGAACTTCACATAGATCTCTAACCCTCGTATGAACGACAGGAGAAAACATACATATATACACTGGCGGCATTGTATGAATGTATGGCCACCTTTGTGGTAGGAAAGTGACTGAAAAAAGGTTTTCAGAGATCAACATTGGGACCCTCATCTCTGGCTAGGTGCTCGAATCCCGCTCGTTCACGTTACTCCACTCATCAGTGACCCTGTTAAAATAAGCCTACTGGAGACCCACATATATAGAGTTCTTAGGACTAACAGTGCTGTAAATCCTCCTTCCCCTTCCCCCCCCCCCCAGCAGATGGGATTACATTACAGCCTTGTACGATTTTTTTTAACGAAACTGACCAATCCGTTAAAACATAGCTGCCATAATAAAATTAAAGCGCCGTATTAGTGACGTTTGCTATACATCGGGTTAGGTGGGTTGCTTGGGTTCGTACGTGCCTGGTTAGAGAGAGGAGGGAATTATCAGGGGAAAGCGCCAAGCCATTACGCCTAATATAGCTTCTGGATAGGGAAAACAGTTGCATTTTTTTACGGAGTGTCACAATTAGGGCTGACACCACCAGCATCCCTCCTTTCAGACGGTAGAGGAGACAGACGAGAACGCCCGGGAGACGGTAATGGAAATGACAGGTCTGGACGGCAGACAGTCGCGGCCTGGTCTCCACCTGTACGACAATAAAAAAGATGATTGCTATGTAGGAAGAAATTGGGTTACAAGTGTGTTGGTGGGTCGAGGTAGGGAAGGGGTGAGGGAGGGAGGGGGAGTGTTTAGAGGGGGGAGGGAGTGTGTAGGGGGGAAGGGGAGTGTTTGGAGGGGGGAGGGGGAGTGTTTGGAGGGGGGAGGAAATGTGTGGAGAAGAGGGGGGGAAGTGTGGGGGGGGGGATCGGCTTAGACGAGGTTTGAGGAGCAGTGAGAAAAGTCAAGAAAGAAGAGGATTTAATAAAAAGCAAAATGGTGGGAAGTCGAGAGGAGAGGAAAGGATGTAAATGATAGAGAGAGAGAGAGAGAGAGAGAGAGAGAGAGAGAGAGAGAGAGAGAGAGAGAGAGAGAACGATAAAAGTGTGGTAGAAGGAAAGGTGAGAGAGTACAAGACTGGTGAGAAACGTACCTATAGTCACCTCTCTGACACCGGAGTTCTAACAACGTAACATTCGTGGACGGTTAAGACGCCCCAGACCGACCCTACAGACACACACACAGCCGGGGCATGACAACATGGGATCTGACGTTCAAGAGAGATGGCTTAAACATTATTAAAGTACAGACAGAATTCCAATAGCGTCTGACTCTCTAGACCCAAATACCATTATATGCTATCCTGCCACTGGCCTGCCACCGGCCTGCCACTGGCCTGCCACTGGCCTGCCACCGGCCTGCCACCGGCCTGCCACCGGCCTGCCACCGGCCTGCCACCGGCCTGCCACCGGCCTGCCACCAGGGAGGACGGGGGCGCCGCCATGTGGGAGAGAAAGCTAGAGACGAACCAGACGTGAGAGGGGGAAAAAAAACATGAATGATGAAGAGGGCAAGACAAGTGTTGAATAGTACCAAAACCAGTTATGGCACACTGGGCACCTCCAGACAATCTCCCCCCCCCTCTCCCCTCTCTCTCTCTCCCTCTCTCTCACCCCTTTCGTCACCACAAC